TGAAAGTCATTATTTCTGTTTTAATGAAGTTATCTAGCAAACAGCACATGCTTTCAAGTTACTATAAATCTTAGTTTACCTGAGAGAAAAGTTTAACATTGTTAGCCCTACAACAATCAAATTCATGATTTGATTGAAAGAATCTGATCACCCTTAATGCCACATTTTTAAGCTTCACAGGTTGCATCAAATGTGCCATCCTCAGAGCAGAACCCTTTCCTGGCAGATTCTAAGAATACAAAAAAAATATATCATGATAGGAAATCTCGCTTCTTGGCATGTTCGGAATTTTATAAGGCACTTCTATCCAACAATGTTTTTCAGAAATACTAGTTTAAATTAGTAACTACAGAATTACAAATTTAAGGTGACAGTAATCTAAGAAACTGCTTTCATTCTTTGTATTGAAAACAAAACCCTCCTAAATATATTTTTTTAGGATAAGTATGAGTTATTTCTAAAACTTGAAGGTTAGACATTTATGCAGGAATGGAAAATAATGTTGAGGATCGCCTTTGCTATATGAAGAAGAAAAGAGAGGAAAAGAAAAATAAACCAGCTGTGAAGACTGGGCATACAGCCTGCTGTCAGTCATGTACTTTGTGTCCTCATATCTTAACTTGTCATGTCAATAAAAAATTTCACATGCAGTGCTTGTGTAGCTCACAGCTTCTGCTCTTTTATCAGAAACTCTATATTAGAAGAAGGTACTAATTAAGTTGCTTAATTTCTTAGGAGTGTTGTTTCGCTGAAGAGGAAGCTAGCATTGTTATACAAAAACAAATTGCAGTGCTGCAGATTTTACAAATGCTAAACAAAAGTCTTCTGTAAAGTGTGACAATATCATGTTTTCAGTTTATCTCACTCAGTGGGACTGCTGTCAGACAGTGAACTTAGGTTTGTTTTTGTTGACTAAGCAGTCAATGTCACCTTCATCAGAACAGGGTTTCTGTTTGAAAGGTTCCTCTCCTTTACTGAAAAAGGAAGCTGAATCTCATAATCTATTGGAGTTGTCAAACATCACAACAGTGGATCACTCAGCCTTTCTAACCTGCATTTCTTTAAAAGGAACCTCTTTCTGAAGAGTCTCAGTGCAAGAGGAATAAAATCAGAAAGAGGGGAAAGGTGAGGAAAAAGATATGTGTCTTTTAAAAGCATTAAAAGCATTGAAACTCTGTAGTTTTCAAGGGGCAGTATGGTTTTAAGATGCATCATGGCAACTTTTTTTTTTTAAGCTGGACATTGAAGGAAAGCCTCGATTTGCCATATGAAGGGTACCGTTTAGACTTATACACAAAGCAGGGCATGATTATTTAAAGCAGTGTGATCCTTAGGGAAAAATGCATAGAAGCAACCTTAAAACTCTTTAGGCAGATTGTTGGGGCTATTACTATCTATGCCCAAAAATGGGTGGCATTTATGTGCATGGGGCCCCTCTGTGCTTAAGCACCATCAGGATCTTAGGGGACATAACCCCTGAGATCATAAATATAATGCTGGGAGAAATTACACAGTATATCTTGAGACTACACAAGTTTGAACAACATAAAAGTATTTGTAAACTAAAATCATTATGTGTTTTTTGTCATTTGTGTTTAACCTACCTAACAAAGTAGACAGCATACCGAAAAGAAATCTAAATTCTAACATTCAAATCTATTTTCATCCTTCTGCTCATCCAGAAAAACGTACCCATGCTCCTGCCCAACTCTTTGACAGCAAGGATGCTGCTGGTCCTCGCTAAAGGCAAGCTGTACCTTCTCCCGCAGCTCTCCCTGTGTACCCAAACCCTTTCTCGCTTCAAGGAAAATCCATGGCATGCTTTAATACCTCTGCTACAGCAAGGATACTTCAGCCAGGACTTGTCTCGGGAACTCAGTAGCTTTACTTGATAAGAAAGGAGTAGCATTTCTGCTGCTTCTGCTTTACAGTGAATGATTCTGTCTATTGCATCCTCAGCCAGTGTGAGGTTCTGCTTCACGGAAAACTTTACAATGGGGAAAAGAAAGTTTCATGCATGAGGAAAAATGAAGCAGTGTGTGAAGTGCGAGTTGTTGTTCCCCTAGAGCCCCCCTAGTTCATCCAAGTAGCCTTTTGGTGCTAACATCTCCTTCGTACAAACACAGAGATAAGCCCAGTGTGCCCCAAGGAACCGGTTGGCATGGCCATCCCCATCTCTCACTTTCATACCTGAGTGGGAAAACACAATGATTGGTAGTAACACGAGAAACTGGGCCCGTGACCTGTGGCCTCCTGCCCCTGCAGCCAGCAGCAACACACCCTGAGGACGCACAAGCGCAAGGAGAGCGGCAGAAGCTCCCAACGGGCCCCGGCCGCATTTCTGAGGCCCCACAAGCAGTGGGGCGGGCGGCCCCTCTGCTGCCCAGAGGAGCGAGGGGGAGCGGCGCCACCCCGGGCGCCAGGGGCCCAGCGCCGCTCAGCGTGTGCGGGCAGCGCCTCTTGCCAGCGTGGCCCCGCGCGGGCAGCGCCTCTTGCCAGCGTGGCCCCAGCGAGACGCCCTCCCGAAGCGGCAGGGCGCCGGCGGAGCCCAGGGTCCTGGCTCCAGTGCAGCAGGATCCCTGCCACCAGGCACCTCCGGAGAAGTCCCTGCCGTGATGATGGCGGTGGTGCTGCCTGCTCCCCACCTGGCAGAGAGCAGCCCCGTGATGGGGGTGCCGGGGTGGGCCAGGCGGCACGGGTGCGCAGGGGTGAAGCCGGGACAAACCGGGTGTCTGCTCGTGGTGCCTGCGTGATGTGTCGCGGGCCCTCGCGGTGCAACCTGCGTGACTGCAGGGTGCAGTTTTACAGCAGAACAGAGGTTTTGCATTAGCGGTTCTTCAGAAAGCGTTCTCTGAAACCTTCCCTGCTGCTCTATGAGTTAATATTAATGACACAAATATTACAGCCGGAAAAGGTGGTTTCCTCTAAAGCTGTGTTGCAATGTTGCTTAACTGTGCTCTGACACAGTGCACTGCCTTTTTTTAGATCACAATTCATATTATTTTAATACCTTGCTTAACATTTATTACTTAACATTTGAACCCATCGGAGTCCCACTGTATAAGTGTGTAATGAAAGCAGTAACAAGGCTGGCCTCATTTCATTTCAGGCGAAATGGGAATCATTCCTTGAAAAGACTTCAACCAAGCAGAGGCCACAGAGGCAGTGACTGCCTGAGCATGTGTTGTTCAGCACTGCATTAGCCTGTGTTTTTGGTATGTGGCATTAGAGGGGACCCATCTGCCAAGCCCAGTTCCAGCACATGGTGTAGCCCCACCAGGCCAACAACCTACATTCCCTATTTTGTTTGTTCCTGTTACATGGTAACAGGACCGATACCCATCCAACTTGGCTCAGTTTGCTAAAGTGACTCTATTTTCATAGAATTATCTGGGAGCGTAAGATAAAAGCTTACCCTGACAACTGCGTGTTACCTGACATTCAACTCATAAATATACTACTGGAAGCCAGCAGCAGGGCAGCCTTCTGGCAGAAAAAAAAGAGTGCTGCTGACTTAAATAAAAAGTAGCACTGAATAAGGTATAAGCTCCAAAGGTCATTTTGTTTGTTCTTTACATGTCCGTAGGGATTGTTGAGAACTTACAGACCTTTCCAAAGCCACCTGAGCAAGAAGGTGCCCATGAGGCAGCAGGGACTCTCAAAAAAAACAAAGCTCCTGATGTCATTTCTTTGCTTAGTTTCAAAATAGGTCTCTTGTAAAATAGCCATTTTGAATGAAAATTAATCTTCATGGGTCAAGAAGGATCATTCTGTATTTTTCATGGCTGTCTTCTTGAGTGAACTCAAAAAGCACTGCGCATACCCAAAGGCGAGAGGCTTCAGGTGATCTTACTCTAGACACAGAGGTAATGTACAGTAAAGGTATTGTGCATAGAAATGCTGTGTCTGGATGGAACATAGCAACACGAACCTTGTTCGCTATGTTCTCTCCTTTCTAGCAAGTATGCACAGCACAGACTGCTGAGCAGTTCCTAGGACTTGTATTAGTTCTTCCTTTACAGGAACTCCAGAGACACCCCACTGGAGTTTGTGTAGGAAACAAGGAAATTAAGTTTTCTTTAAAGAAGGTAAGTATCAGACAACTGTTTTCTTGGGAGGGTGTAAAGTAGCAACTGAGCAAAAGCATTCTTCTCAGTGAAAACTTCCTCTGCGTTTCCTCACTGAGCATAATTACAGTGGTAACATAACTGCAGATGTGGTCACTGAAAAGGGATGGAAGAAGGTCAATCACAAACGTCAAGCAGTAAATCTTCAGATCTCTGGCTTTGGTTTACAGGAACTGAGTGCTAGTCACTGGGATGGCAATCTGTTCTTCATGGAAGATGGAATGCAAAAACTGAGAGAAGCAGTGTTATATTTTGATGAACTAAACGGATTGCCCTTTTTGACACAACCGTCAATCATCACAGTGCACAGGCAGGAGTGGGGCAGGAGCCTTCTGAGCCTCCTAATGTCTGTGGAGGGGTCAGCACTCTTGATGTTTGAATGAGATTTTTAGACTCTTTTGTAGTCTCTCTGTGAACTAGAGCTTAAGGCAAATAATACCTTCTGAGAGTGAGAGCTGCCCTGTTGCAAGGAATAGATGTATTTTCCAGACAAAGCCTTGCATCCATCTTCTGAACTCTGAGTTGAAGCTGATGCATACATATCTATATTTTTATATATTTCTATATATGTACATATACACAACATTGGAATTCTGTGTTGCCAGAGGATGTCATAAAGTCTCTCTACCGTAAGGCGTCTGAGAAATACTCCCTTGCCATCTGTACACTGTGCATGGTTGAAAAAAAAAGAACTGATCATATTCCAGCAGAATTCCAATTCGCAACATGGGCAAGGTAAAGGAAACTTCTCACTCTCATTAATGAATTACCTAAATATAGGAAATAAAGAAGAAAAAAAGGACATTTATTTATTTTATTTTATCAATGTATATAATGCACCTATCACCAAGGATTTTTAGGTACGCAAATAATAGAAACTTAAAAACACATAAAATAATGACTCTAAATGGACAACTTAACAAATAATAATGAAGAAACTTTGTGGTTCGATTGAGTCAAACAGATTATGAATTATAAATACAAGTAACAGCACTAAAGCTAATTAGTAAGTGTTAAGCTAAAGCTATACGATCATTTCCCAGAGCACTAGCACACTTCATTCAATTCAGCCTTATTAGCACCTTGGTACCAGTTGCTGAATGGCTCCCAATTACTATTGCATCCCTAGACTGCGTCAAAGACTTTTTAAAGTAATATGCAAAAGGCTTTCTTCCGCCCAGCAGTTTTTTAGGTAAAATGTAAAATTTAGAGGAAAAAAAAAAAGAGTATTTGTTATTCAAGTTTCTAAAGGTTAGTTACTGTGTTATCTATACTGTAAGAAATTCTTCAGTATCGTTGGCAGCTGGAGTTGCGGGACAAGATGCAGTCTAGCTCTTCCTATGTAATTTCGGATACGTAGTCGGCAGAGCTGGCACAGAGAAGAGGGGGTAGCTGCAGAAAGAAAGGAATTTAATTATAGACCTGAAAAAGGTCTATGAAAGCTAATATTTTGTTTTACAACAGTTGTATACAATAATGCAATTTCTAAAAAAGTTTATGTTTTGTAAATTCTTTATTTTTCCTGTTCTTATACTCTTTTTGTTTTTTTTCTGAAAGATATAGAAAGGGGCTGCTGAAACCTGCTTAAACCTAACAGGTATCTAAAAAGCAAACTCAGTGAGATCCAGCAAAGAATTCATATTTTTAATTTAAAAACCTGCACTCAGAAAATACTTTATGACAGTTTCAAAGATAAAGTTGCTTTTTTTGTTTGGTTGTTTTTTGAGGCCTGTACAATGGATCGAATACGTCTAAAGGAATGCCTGTGATTATGACAAAAATTCCTCTTCTTATTTCCCACACATTTGGGTGGCTTATTTTCCTATACAGGGTCTATACCTGTCTGAAAAAATCCTTTAATAATATCCTTTGGGATATTATCTCTAAGCTACAGACTTCAAGAGCAGGATTGCTGCTGCTTTACGTACAGGTACCGATGCCAGCTTCACACTGACTAATTAAAGGGAGAATAAAGAGTATTCTTAGGCTGTCTCTTCTCTTGTTCTCTATATCTAAAGGCAAAGCAGAATTATAACATACACACAAACCATAGAATCATAAAATCATAGAATGCCGAAGGTTGGAAGGGACCTCAGAGGTGATCGAGTCCAACCCCCCTGCTCCCGGGGGGTTGTATTCACAGTATTCAGTGGTATACTGCTGCCACAAATAAGAGCTTTTTTTTAAATCTATCTGTAATACTTAATTTGTAATTTGTGTCAATTATACTACCAGCATATTTCATGCTCTTTGAAAGCCTTGAGTGACAACTCTTATTTCTCGGATACAATTCAACAAAGAAAAATTAATCCAAAAAAGAAGCTTCTTACCGCTGATTCTATCTCTATGAAATGCTTTATAAGTATATATGACAACTCATTCATATTCTATTTTTTAAAAAATTGTCTTTGCATTGGTGTATGTAACTGGGAATAGACTGAAACAGTTTATATTATACCTTGTACAAACTGACAAAAATTTTAAGAAAAAGAAACCCATACTTTCAATAACTGCATGCTTGATGTCTACAAATGCTTTATAGGTACTTCTAAAATATATTAAAAAGAAAAAATGTATTTTCATTTCAGAATATATATATTTAGTTTTGACCAGCTATGCCAACATCTTTTTTAAATATGTTTTAGAATATATTGTCTCAGAACTTGTTAAAAAGTTCTGTCTCAGAACTTGTTAAAAAGAAAAAATGTATTTTCATTTCAGAATATATATATTTAGTTTTGACCAGCTACGCCAACATATTTTTTAAACAAGTTCTGAGATAGCCAATAAAAATTGTAGTTTCAATGTCTAATTTTAGAAATATCTAATAAAAATAAGAAGATATGGTTTCAGATTGTATATATGCTGATGCTGCTTGGCCAACATGGCCTGAGACTATAAATATTACTGGATATTTTTATAGCTAGAAATGCATTTATCATTCGTTTCATCCAGCATTGAATTAGCTTCTATAACATTTCCGCAGTTTTTTCAATAATCCAACTTAGAATTGTACAAACATACTTCTAAAGCTTACCTTCATGGAGGAGCAACTGTCTCTCCACCAAACTGCTTGGGGCAGCTAAATCTACAGGTCGCTCAAAATCTGCATTTTTGGCATTTATGTCCGCCCCAAATTCAAGGAGCAGGTTTATGATCTCTGTACTAGATTGCTGGGCAGCAGCATGTAGTGGAGTCTCCAAATGTTTTCCTTTCTGCACATTGGCACCTGGTAGTATACAGGCATTAAGAGACAGAAGAACAAATGGTCATTGAGTAAAGACAGTGCTTAATAGTGTAGAAAAAGAAAGAAAGAAAGGTGTGCAGTGTGCATGTGCACAAGCACACACACATGCACCCCCGAGTGGGAAAGCCACAGTGAACTTAGCCACCTAATGAATTTTACTGCATACCAGTATCATGTCAATTTACTAGAGGAACTGCTGGTATAATGCTAGCAAGGCTGAGTCCACTATTGCTGTCACTGTGCAAATATATGTGTAATTCACAATGGTGGTTATCAGCATAACAAATGATCTGGTAACAATGCAGATTTTGTCCTTGGGTTTGGATTGAAACAGGGCAAACCACAAACATCTCTTGTTTGTTTGATTTATATTAAATATGTAATGTGAAATTTAGGAATCAAATGCCTTTACTAATCAGAATATGCTAAATTATGAAAAAAAGTGGGACTACATTGCTGAAGAAGTCCATTGAAAAAACAATGGTTACTGCTTAAAAATTCTTTACAGTTTACTTTACTTTTTCCTACATGAATGAACACCTGCAAAACTGTATTTGGTACTGAAAATTTTAAACACCTTTATCTCTGGTCTTGCTCCCTTTTCCACTCACATGCTTGCTACACCTTAAAAACGGTGACAGAATAAACTTTTGTGAAAACATGCATCATGCAATCTTGCAAATAAAGCTTTAGAGTAATAGTTCTGTCTTGATGATGCAGTGCAACTCACTTCAAAAAGTGGGTGCTGTAAACCATCTTCAAAAACTAGCTGTACCTTCAGTTAAATAATCACATACCTGCATAGAGAAGCTTTCGAATGCAATGGATCTGCTGTGAAACACATGCTACATACAGAGGTGTTCCTAAGTGAGGAAGATCTTGGTCCACATCTATACCCCAGGATATCAGGACCTCCAGACAGTCGCTGTGACCTACCAAAGAATGACAGCAGTGCTTGACTTCACTAAGCTGTTTCATAGGTAAAACTGGACACATTTCTTAACACTACTGCTGAGACATTTTTCAGCAGTCCCATTTTGTTCAGCAGCTGATTTCTTACCTCTACTGGCTGCTTCATGAGTTGGTGAAGGAAGACAGGACTCCCACTGAGCTTTGGCACCATACTCCAGCAACAGCTCAGCACATGACGCGCTGCCTCGTGAACATGCATTAAATAAGGGTGTCACTCCATCGATTGTTGTGGCATTCACCTAAAATACATAAGATCTTTTAAAGAATAGAGTTGAAATAAGGATATATTTTTTAACTTCATTATAATACCAACAAATGTACTGCTTACAATAACATGGCTTAACTGCTGAGTCCCTGTGTTACCTTCCTGCTCTCACCACACTCCTCAGTTAAAACTAGTTTATTATTATTCTTGCTAAACTATGCTGAATAAAACAAAATATACCTGGAATATCGAAGATCACACATTTATATTTGGGGCACAAAATGACTTAATTTTCAAAAGTAATTGTACTTAGCTCTTTTAATTGATACAGAAAATTGAAATCTGTATCTGTGGCAATAACAGGGACCTTCTGTCTGGACCTCTGTCAGCCTGCATGCTCCATATTAAATGTGGGAACTATTTGTCATTTTATTCTATATTTTTACCTCTGTGTTGGACATTTCTTGGGATGTGGGCAGACTTTTTAGAGGGTCTCCTGCAAGCCCCTCAGAGAAAACCAGTACAGGAGAGACACAGTTTAGAGGAGAAATAATATAATTTAAAAGGAAAATAATGTATGACTGGTGACACACTACTGACCAATTTTCTCCAGTTTATTGAACTTACTGTCTTCTCAACTTACATTTGTTTTTTCTGTTATTGCTCTTTTGTTTGATAGCTTACATACCTATCTACTTACATAGTCTTCTTTCTAATTTTGATTTTTACCTGTGTTTTTATCTCTCTGTTGATGTGTCTGACCCACCACTTTCCTTTGCTAAGCTTTCAGATGGCAACTTATTGTAATAAAATGAGATCAATGCCATCACTAAGGAATAGTACAGAGAAATAACAGTAGAATACATCCTTCTCAGCTAAACAAATGTACTGGACCTCATTCAGAAAAAAACTCACGTTTGCTCCTGCTTCAAGGAGGATTCTTGCACAGCCAACATGATCTCCCAGGCACGCTTCATGAAGTGGAGTGACTTGGTCAATTGTTAGTATGTCTACATTGTAGCCCTAAGCAAGATATGAATGACATATAAAGATTATACAAAAGCTGTTAAGAGTCATTTCCTTACACTGCTAAATGATCAGGTTATGTTACTCTAAATGCACTTAAAACTTACATGCAATATATAAATATTGGTGAGCACAAAGTGAATCATCAATCAACACAACTAAGAGAATGAAAATATGCTTTCAGCTCTTTTTTTTAATCAGAAATATTCGAGACTGAAATAGGGTATGAAGGTCTAAGGAAGGTGTAAAGAAGATGCAAACAGACTCTTGAAATGTACAGTGATAGGACAAAAGGCAACAAACACAAGTTGCAATGTAAGGAATTTTGTTAGTTACAATGGAAAATTCTTCCATCATGAAGATGGTCAGTCCCTGGAACAGTGGTTCAGAGAGGTTGAGGACTCCCCATCTGTGGAGATCTTTAAAAATTTGCAAATGCCTGACTCTAAACTGTTTTGTGTTTACATGATTCTCTACCCTAAGGTCAAATAGGTTTCTGCAAGGAGCACTATTCTCAGATTGATAAAATGGTGGAGCTCTTGGAACTCTTAAAACTTTCTGCAGTAAGTCCTTTTTGATTATTTAATTATCATCTTCATTTTCTTTATACTTTAAATATACACTCCAGTATAATTGATCAGTATTGTAACAGATAATATGACACAATACTGCAATATTAAGATTCAGTGATTTACATTCTCTCCCTTTGCTATTAAAAAATAATAATTAATCAGAAGCATGTAAGAAAATAGAATCTATTATTCTTCCCCATCAACAACTATCTTTCTGATCAGCTCTATTTACCTGAGAACTCAAATTAGTGAAACTACCGTGGGGTAAGTGATACACCCTCCAATATAAAGATTAATTTTAAGAAAGCTTTAAAACAGGGAGAATATATATTAATTTATACCCTAAGCTATTGAAATTTCCAAATGTGTGCAGCTCGAAAACATTCAAGTGAGAGAAAAAAAAAAGAAGCAAAGCAAAACATACTAAATCCACAGTAACAATCTATGCTGAGAAATTAAGTAATATTATTAAGGAAAGCAATTTTAAGAACACAGCCTTCACCTGTGACAATAAAGTCTTTAGAGAAAGAAGACGTCCTTGACTGGCTGCCTCATGCAGAGGTGAGCGATCTGCCCAAGAACCTATGTAATAACAACATTTATTGAGTAAACCATAGAAATTAGAAGGATTTGGGAATGAATACAGCAAAGTGGAAAAGATAATGCACAGAATGAAGTCAACTGTCCAGTGAAATTTGTTGCTTCCCTTTACAGTCTGTACTACAAATCATCAGTTTCCAGAGAATAAAAAATAAGTTCCATTAAGTGTAAACATTTCTATTAAATGATTCTGTGATACAGCAGAGAACAAAGTCTACATATATTGACTAAATTACTATGATTTAATAAATTCTACAAAATAATATAACTTATTATTGTATTTATATTTTGTTTTGTAGTTGTCATTCAGAAACTTACAAGCTTCCACACATTGATAGCTAGACCTAAAACAGACATAAACCTGCCTGAAAAAGTGCTAAAAAAAGTTTCTAACATGTATGAAATTCAATCAGGAAAACCCTATGCATGATGAGATTCATTTGCTGCTACTACACAAGTGCAAAGAGAAAAAAGAGAGTGAGAATCTATCTTCCATCCCAATCTGTTTGCCATCTTCTGGACTGCACTGTGCAGTACTCTCAAGGAATTCAACAAATCGGCAGGATTTTACAGACTAGTGATGAGAACAGGCATGCCGTCACAAAAGGAATGACGGAGAAGATTAAGTGTGCTCAATCTGAATAGAAAAGAGAGGGTAGCTAAAAACATACAAAATAAGAGACAACCTGGAGAAGATAAGTAGTTTCCTTTTCCCGTTACTGAAGGAGTCCTTCTATGAAAATAGAACTTAACCACATATAAGACTATCTTCTCACAAAACTCACAGCTACACTGATTAAGGCACAACTGAACATTTAAGTTACCATAAGACTAGATAAAACTGACTATATAATTAAATACTGATTAAGATTTCAAAATTTTGCCCTTAAAAATGCAAAAACATTAATAATATGTTGTAGTATCCCACATGCTGTGAAGTTTCTTGTACTTTTCTATCGGTGTGAATAGCTGGACCATAGGTAAGATCCAGATTCCAAGATCCTTTCAGAACTACTTATTCTAAGCTCTGATCGTGGGAATGTACACGTGTACATCCACCCCACACACATGCTGTGGCCTTTACTTTTTATTTTGCTTTTACTTTAATTAAATATCTTACAATTCTTATTTCTAGCTAAAAGAGCTGAGAAAAAAAATAAACATAGAGAAATGTTTGGGATTTTAGGGAGCTTGATACTACAGTCACAGAGCTGAGAAATATATATTGATCTGGTTTTTAGAAAGTATTGACATTTCCTCTCTCCCATGCCAATAAGCGCAAGTACAGTTATCCTATTACAAGCTGGATGTGTACAGTGCAATTTTGACCAATACTTTCCTCCTTCCTTAGTGTTACTAGAGCAAATTCAAGCAAACTTTCAAAAACACTGGTTACACCAATTCACAATAATTGCTCAAAAGTAATTAAAAGTTGTAATTAGAAGCTATTTTTGAAATTTTGTCCTTATTTCTTCACTGAAGAAAACTTTCCTTTCTCAACAGTTTATTTTATTCCTCAATTAAGAGGGGAAAAACAATAAATATAAATAGAAATAGAACTAAGAACATTGTAAATGTCATTGACCCTTTATGCCCATTAAATATATTCATATTGAGGTCATTTTTTGTGACCTCAAGTATAATTCTAAACAGAAGTATAATTCTAAACAGGACAGAGACTGAGACAGAATCTGAAAGAAATGCTTCTTGCATTCTCCTTTCCTGCTTCCCTCCAAGATTGCTCGGAAGAATGCCTGTCGATGTCTTTATTTCAGTGATATCAGAGATTCAAATGACGCTGGTTCCCAACCCAAACTCAGTTTTGCACCTAGACCCGCTTTATATCTCTGCTTTTGAATAGATGCATTGAGCAGTTAACTGTTTCTGCTACATGTATTAAATACAAAAGGCTTAGTTTTGTTATTGACTCTATTTAAAAAAAAAAAAAGGTTTAATGACTGCAGAAAGATTCTGTTCAAGTTTGGAAAAAAAATCACATTTCAACTGACTTATCATTAATCATAATAATGATCATTATTGATCACTAGGTATCAAGCAGATAAGAACATGTTCAAAATAAATACCTATCTTATTAATAAACAGGTGTCTTCAAAAGAATTTTTTCATTCAGCTTCCTCCCTTCTGCTAATGTAAAAGTTTGCCATGTCTGCTACTTAGAAAGCATTAACAAGAACATAAATGAGTAAATTTTCAATCCACTGTTGTCTGTAACAGTGGTATTAGCAATCATATTCTATTCAAAAACTGTTAATGCATTAAGTCCCTCCTGACGTAGCCTCTGACAGATGCTGAAGGCAAAGAACCTCTAACTAAATTTAGAAAGCACTTCAGTTCCAAGCTCACTCGTATGTAGTTCACCAGCAAGGGCAGCCTAGTCTGCTCTGTAAACACTAAAGAGAAAGAAGAAAGATATTCACTGCATTAACAGACAAGGTTAAAGAAAAATATGGCAAAATATACAATACCCAAATCTCCATCTCCCCACGGCACTTCCAGCCAGCTGCAATGATAAATCCTACTCATTTCTCTCAATTGAAAATAAAAATCTGTTCTCGCGGGCTGGGCCTGTGCTTAACACACTGCAGCTAATTTTGGAAGGAGATCAGCAGCTCCCTGCAACCTGAACTTTCACCTGTAAAACCGCGGCAGTAAACACTGCTCCGAGAGCCGGCCTCAGACAGCTACCGGCTTCCTTTCTCATGCTAAAGCTTCTTTTTTCATTATTTTATTTTTTTCTTCCTTTTTTTTTTTTTTTTTTTTTTTTTTTTTTAGGTTTTGAGAAGAAGCCAGGATCTGTGCATTAGTTTTCCGAGAGAGCTCACCTGGAATTTCAACATGAGGGAAATTCATAGTGAAATCAATGGAAGCTTGAACTGCATGCAAACTGCTTTCTCATGTAATTAGACATATGGATCCATAGTTTAGTATCCTCCAACACCAGTATTAGTAAATAGCTTTGTAAGGGAAGGACTGCCAAATGTATATATATGGTATTTTGGTATCTTCTCATATTATATAAGAAAAGAAAGCACAGAATATTTCAAGCCTACCAAATGCTCCTCATTCTGGGTTTTTCTTCTAGCAGTTAACTACTCTGTCAATTAAGTTCTTAACAATTTTAGAGTCGTGAAAAAGAACTTTTGGTAACTATGTGTCAGCAGTAAAGGTCTCACCTCTAAATTATACATTAACATATCTATCTAGAAATTATAAACATTACATACGTAATTATTCTGTGTGTATGTGTGTGTGTGTGTCTGTGTGTGTGTACACATCCACACATGAAAGTAAAACACTGATGACTTCTGGAAAGAATACGGGTTTTGAACCAATCATCACACAGACTTTCAAAATTTGGGGATTTCATTCCAAATTCAAATGCCAACAACTTCCAAAGTTTGAAAATCACACACAAAAAAATTCTTCCATACAGTTCAACTTCTGGCACAGCCAAGTTACATGTTCACACCTTGTTTTTGTCAAACCACCTATATTTTATTCAATGATTAATTTAACATTCCTATTATTTTCATATTCTATTTACACAGTCTATCCAAGCCACTTTAAGTTAGCCAATCTAAGTAGACAAGTATTAATTTATATTGTCTTTCCCGTGATATTCTCCCAAATACAAAAACTTCAACCCCCTTACTGAATCTATCTTCCTAGTCTATTCATAGTCTATACATCCTATTTCATAACTAAGGAGCCAAAAGACAGCATTTTAATGCTCAGATTGTAAAAGAGCCTTGAATAACTACGATCACTCAAACTTTTAGGTTAGATGACTTATCTTGAACCAATTACATGCCACAGCAGAGACACAAACAGAATCCAGTTTTGGAAATAGAACCAAAAAAAATTACCCTTTTTTTTCAGTTGTGAATTCCTACCTCATTCACAACATGCCTTATCTTACCAATAAATAGAAATACACAGGGCATATTTTTTCATATATCATCATATCATATGATATTTTTTCATATATAAACATCAATATCCAAACAGACTTGCTTCCACCAGCTCAGAAGCAACATTATGCCACACGCGGCAGTGGTCACTGCAGTTGTTCCTGCCTCTGCACTGGCCTTGCATACAAAGGAAGAAGTGTGTTCAGGTCCCTTCTCCTGTCATGGGAAAGTTCATCAACAACAGCCCCTTCCTCTATCCATTAGTCACAGTTTGGTTTTACATCTTCCTGAAGGATCAACAACTGGCTAGCGCCAAAAGAGTTTACAAACTATGCCACAGCAAGGGCACCAAGCTCTAAAATCGTGTTAACCTCTGAACCTCCGTAATCAACAGAGACTGTTAGACCCACATCACACTGCTGGAGCATGTGCAGCAGCTCGTAGCACTCTTAGGCTGTTAATATTTCCCTGCACTAATAATTAAAGCAAAAGCAGATATTTTCAGTGGACTTTCCAAGCAGCAACTGACAGAGAAGAAAAATACTGATGTTCTGAGGTAACTTCACATTTTGGAGAACTTTTATCTAGGAGAATTTTTGACTTGGCCTCATCAAATAGTCCTTAGACCTAAATCAGACTGTAAGTAATTTTGCCAAAGCTAGGCTCATAATTCTCTTTTTTTTTTTTAATTTTTTTGTCCTAGAGTAACTGCTGTAGACAGTACCCACTTGGCCAGGACTGTTGTACCTAGTGTTATGATTTTTGCCAAAGCCAAGAGATTTTGGTAAAACAGCCTGGCTATTGTGGCTCTCATGCCACCGGGCTGAAAAGCTTTTCCTCACTTGACTCTACCCTTTCTACCTTTCTATTCAAAAACTAATAAGTCTATCTGGTATGACATATGCCTTCTTTCTCCTTTTCTAGCCCATTTCTGCAGACATTATGCCTTCTAATATGATGCCCTCTGGCCTTGTTAGGGTACCTGGGGAAGACAGTCAGGTTTGCATGTCTATATGGGTCCTTTGCATCTGATACTATGTTTTGCCCACT